AGGACTATAGTATTTTGGGGACTATATTGGGTTCCCTTATTTTGGGAAACTACCACATGGTGGCCTCATGAAGAGGCTGTACAGGCGTTGGTCAAACCAGTGGAAGTGAAAGCACTAGGTTTTCCTGCATTGGGCCCCAGAACCTCCAAATGTTACCTAATTCGTTCAATTTGGATCTCCAGGCTCTTTGGGATGCACTTATTAAGTAACTGACCACCCCGCGGCAAGAATTCATTCTGCGGATGGTAAACCCGTTCCTCAAACATAAGCTGCCCATTACCTGTGTAATTTCGTGTTTAGTATCGGGGGTCCCACTAACACTCAGGCTCTTTTAAAATTAGCAAAAGGCGTCCTCGATGAGGTTCCCAGGGCTCTGGGGATTGCTTGAAACGGGATGATCTGGCTTCGGTAAGGGATTTCCTTGTCCAAAAGTGTCCTTTCCTGATACTTGCCTCAAAAACTTTCCGTTTCTGAATTCAGAGCACAAGTAGCGACATTAACGCAACAAAGCCCGGAGCCAGCAACTCCTAACTATAAGTCCTAAACCCCAAGCCCTAACCTCTTCAGCCCACAAGCCGAAACTGAAGACCCTAAGCCGCGTACCCTGAACGCTAGACCTTGAGTCGCGAATCCGAAAGCCTGAATCTTCAGGCCCGAAACCCAAGCCCTACCTGTGAATATATACATATATACATAGCCCTATATCCCTGTATGACCTTAGGTAAGCTCTTTTAAAGCGATCCTACACCTAAAACCCGAAATCCTAAACTTTACACCTTAAATCTTATCTGCACCCCAAGCACTAAATCCTGAACCCTAAGCCTAAAATCCTCAAACCCTACATCCCTAAACACGAAATCCTAAAACCGAAGCCCTAAACCCTACACGCTAAACCACCCAACCTGCCCAGGACCACCCAGGAACTCCCGGCCCTGCAGCCTTCAGAGACCTCGGCAGAGCGAGAGGCGCCTTTCAGAATCTGCTCAGAGGATTTAGGGAGTACTATTGTGATAATGGAAATATAATGAAAACTACCATGTTGGGATAATGCATAAAACAACATGAAAACTACTATTGAGGGGTTAGGGTGTAGGGTTAAGGGTGGAGGGTTTAGCGTTCAGGGTGGTGGAGGGTTTAGGAACTTGGGTTTAGGGTTTAGGGTGGAGGGTTTAGGGTTGAGGACTTGGGGTGGAGGGTTAGTCTTCAGGGTTTAGGGTTCAGAGTTTAGGGCGGAGGGGTGCTGTCAAGTTATCTTGCCGCTGCTTTGTCGTTAAATTTTCCATTACTCGGGGAGAGGACGCCAGACGCTAAACCCATGAATCCCTTAATTCCCGTCAGAGTCCTGCAGTCATGTGGTTACATGGGAGTTTCTCATTGAAAACAACCTTCATAGCAACAATGCTTCATAACCCTGTCATGCGTAATTTGTCGTCTTAATGTGCATAATGGTACCCCCCTTTTTGAGAGCCCTCCCGGCACTAAAACTCAAAACCTAAACTCATTACCAAGGTACCGTTTTTTGTACCCGCTGTTCTGAGCAATTTGCACATCTCGCACCAGGCCCGACCCATGGAGGAGCTGCCCACTTGGCTCATGAAACCCGGACTTTAATTGATGAGGCGTACAGGTACCTGGACCCTTAAAGTATGTAGAATATTGGCCTTTTGGGCTGTTTTTGATGGTTTAGGGCTATTATTTTACATACTTTTGGGGTGTAGGTAATCAATATTGGACTCTTCAGGGGTAGGGGGGGTGCATGTAGGGTATTCTTCAGGGGTACATTTCGAAGGTTATGTACTTTGTAGCAAAGCACGTGGCTGCTGTGTGGCATCCATACCCTCATGGAAGGCCCATACCACCTGCAGCGCAGAATTTTTCATTGCATGGCTGCACTTCTAGGGCAAGACCGCCATTATGCAAGGCAATTTTTTGTCCGTGTGCGAGAGTGTGAGATTCACCGTGGAGCATTCAAGTAGCTTGTAATGTGATATTTGCAGGTCTGCAAGCTTGTGAGCAGCTGCTTCATGCTATCTGTAGTATGGATTATGTGATCTGTTTGGAGTGATTTGCGAAATCACTACGCATTTGACATTTCAAGGTGTGGGCTCCACTTTTTGGGGAAAATCCAGAGCCAACATGACGACAGTTTCAGTTTCATGTTTGCAGTTGATGCTCCATTGGTAGGGCTTATAGGTTGAGGGTTCAGGAATGTGATGAACCCCTGAGTCATACAAGTGACATCTTTGTCTGTCCCCCACCACTCACAGTCAAGTCAATTTGGAGTTGCACTTTTCACCTAACCCTAGCATGGGAGGTGCCGAAAAACGGATCGGATACTTTTTGATTCTCCACAGTCCGGCAGCCGTGGTTCAGTAGTGGTTCCATAGACCTTCGAAGCTTGGTCTAGGCGACTGCCTAGTAATGGCATGACTATAGAACATAGGAGTAAATACAGCACCTGGGGACATCAATATGATGAGACCTAAGATGCAGCAAGACCGGGGAAATCCTACATTCAACCGAGAAGCTGTCGGGCGTAATAGTCTTGGGGTGTCCCAAGTTTAGGGTTTAGGGTTTAGGGTCCTGCTTGGGGATTTTTTATAGTAAGGGCCATTGTATTTGGGGTCCAAATCTATGTTGGGGTGCCCCTATTTATGGAAATGGAAACTATTGTTTGGTCAGCAAAGGCAGCGAGTGCTAGCTACCGGCGCCTTCCCACGAGAGGGCGAAATCAATCAGGTCCGGCCAATGGGAGTTTCTCAACAAGGGGTCTGGGGACCCCAGGGATACAGGGGTTGTTCTCAAAAACATGGGCTTTTTTGGTTACAGTTTATATCGCATGGCGGTACCCAATGTTGGTTGGGCTGGGTGGCAAAATGGGATCTTAATTTTGAGAACTACCCATGTGATGACTAGACTAGACAGATTCTACATGGAAACTGTGGATGGGTTCCTGTATTGTCCGGACAAAATCTACACGCAAAGAACGCAGCCCTTGTTCGTAGCAACTGCAGAAGCTTTTCATGTACATCTACCCCCCAAATTCGAGGACAGTTTCAGAAAAGAAGTGTGTTCGACTCAGTCAGGGACGCCATCCAGGGCCCAGCCTGAATAATTACCACGCTGTTTTGGGTTTGTCACTATGGTGAGCCCAAAACGCTGGGCGGATCATAAAGATCGCTACATATCATTCCCATATAGCACCTGTGAAAACTCGCTTCATGTTATATTGTCCATGTGATTATTTTCTATTCTCATCATTTGGGCCCATAATCTGCATGCATGTTTCTCAGCTGAGAGGGCGACTTGCAGAGAAGCTCTTTGTCATGTTTTTTCCAAGCTAATGCTACAAAAACCTAACAGACATTGCTAAGAGTGGCCAGATTCATAGTGATCGTCATCGCGTCTGCTGCTGTTCCTGCGCCACTTATTACTCCGACTGTTTATTGTCACTGGTAGCCCTACCATCCGACCAGGTGGCTGCCAACGAATACTTGGAGAGAGCAGGCAGGTAAATACGAGTTCTGGAAACTTGAGCGTTTCACAAAGAAGTGGCTTTCGCCTTCTTGTGGGGCCGCTCGTCATAAGGCTTGTGCGGTTTGACGGTGCTACCACGGGATCCCTAGTCTCTAAGGGCTACCCATGTCACAGAGAATTTTGTAAGCGCCAGTATTCGAGGGATTTGACAACATAAGCTCAACCCCGCTGCTTTAATCCTTCTTTGAAGACAAGCAGTCGCTGCTTTTGTGGTTGATGAGGAATAAGTAAATGAATCCCCTGTGCGTGCATACAGTGGCAGCAGTAGCAATAGCAGGAGCAATAGCAGCAGGAAGAGGAGGCGTAGTAGTAGTAGTAGTAGTAGTAGTAGTTGTTGTTGTTGTAGTAGTAGTAGCAGTAGCAGTAGCAGTAGCAGTAGCAGTAGCAGCAGCAGCAGCAGCAGCAGCAGCATCCGTAGTGTTTCTAGTGAACCGCAAGCAAGGAAACCCACTGAGAGGCATCTCATCGCACGTGGAGGAGCCCACAGCTTTCGGAGCAAACCTCGGGACGCTGTCGCCCCGCGGTTGCAATAGTACAAGTCCCTCCAGGCGTTTACTGTTTAGGGTTCAATGTGCTAAGCAAAGCCCACGCTAGAGTTGGAAATGCACTTTGGTTGAAATTGCATTCTGGTACAATGTGTTCAGAATGCTCTGAATTCCATGTGTTTCAGGGGGTTCCAGGACATGATATGGGTGTGTAGGAATTACGCATTAGTATTGGGATATGTAGGGATGCATAGCGCCACATATTTTTGTTTCTCTGCAGGGAGATTATTGAAGAGGCGATACAGGTATGGACATACATGTATAAAAGATTCAGGGCGGCGACTTTCTCCTCACCGGGCCTTGATCAGTTCTGAAATTGGCCTCCACAATTCTCTCATACATGTACATTTCCCAAGCCAAGAATTGAGCATCATACAACCCCAACGTTGCAGGACAGTGCTCTCTGTAATGGGGGATTCTGATTAATGACACTCCCCATCCTCCCCTCCCCCTCGAACAAGTCGGGATTCCAAATTTTGCGCGGTCGCCCGATCAAATTTCGGCCAACTTGTTTGGAGAGGAATTCATAACCCTGAACCCCAAACCCTGGAAAAGAAGACTCTCTCTTAGGCTCAGAAGGACTCGGATCTCCAGGCTTAAGGCTTGGTATATATCTGCAATTTAACATATGAGTAATCTTGTTTTCAGATCCTGGGGTCCATGCTTGCCAGGGCCCCGATTATTCCGTACCCTTTTTCAAGGCCATTATTCCGTTCCAGCGGTCTCAGTATACTACCCCTGGAATGATTGCCTGGGCTGTTCGATTAAGCGTTTTCATGAGAGATCGATGGTTTCAGACTGGCTGGCTTCTCTGGCTTCTCTTCTCTCTGCTTCTAGTTATTGTTGTTTCTCTCTTTTCAGGCCGAATTTAGCTCTTTTCCGGTTCCGGCATCCATTACAAATCAGAATCCAGCATTGGGCCCTTCCCTAAATCGTGAGCCCTAAACCCTAAACCTGAGGGGTGTATCTTGAGGACGCCTAGAGATCCCTGTCCATTTTTGAGGAGCTATAGTCAGGTCCAGATGAGCTATAGTGTAAACTCCTTAAAATGGGGTTATATAGGTGATTATATAGGCGACTGCTATAGGCCTATGAGGAGGGACACTGGAAGTGTAGACAATGGATCAGATACCTCTGATTCCCTGGCTTTGGGCACGCGGCATACCCGTCACGTGGCATACCCGTCGCGCGGCATGCCTGTCGATGGCCCCTCCACCTCCAACTGTAGAAGCCGCCATATGCGTGTTCTAGATTTGGCAGTGAGACTCAAGGACCCACGGTCTATTGCAGCGTTTTGATCCCTGGTGCAGGTCCCCAGTCATATCCCCGTGCTTGTACTTTGTTGAACTGTCCATATGGTCAGCAAACCTTATGTGTAAGTTTTCAAGAATAAGCCCAAGAGGCCCCTCAAGCCCTAGACCCCGAACACTGAATAACTCTAAAGCCGTAGCCCAGAACAGTGCAGCACACACTCTCCCACGCTTAGTGGAGCACTGGGGAATAGAAAAGAACACGGAACCTACTGTGGCTGCTTGGTAGGGAACGCGGGAACGGGCTAATCATAGCTGGGACCACTGACGGTATCCTTACTCTCGTTCCCCACTAAGCTTCATGTAGAGGTATCTTTGCCCTTAACCCCAAGCCCTAGACCTGAAACCGCCACCACAGCGAGGGAAAGGGGCTCTTACAACAAAAGACTGAGAACTGAGTCATATCCCTTTACAACGTTCTATACTTCTAGTGCAAACATGCCCGAAACCCTGTTGTAAGTAACTATGCTCCTGCAGCACGCGCTCGACAAGCCTTGCCTCCGAGTCTCCCACCCTGAATCCTAAACCCTAAACTACAAACCCTAAAACCCGAAATCCTAAACCCTAAAACCCTAAACTACAAAACCTTAAAACCCTAAAACCCTAAAACCTTAAGCCCTAAAACCTAAACACCTAAAACCCTGAAACCCTAAACCCTGAAACCCGAAACCCTGAAACCTAAAACCTAAAACCTTAAAGCCCGAAAACCCTGAAACCCTAAAACCCTAAACTACAAACCCTGAAACCCTAAATCCCTAAACCCTAGAACCCTAAAACCCGAAACCTAGAACCCGAAACCCCAACCCTAAGCCTAGGATGCTCTCCCCGGTGCAGATGACACTGACGCCTGCAGAAGAGGTTGGAGCCACGGTTCAGGATTGAGGCTTTGGATTCTTAGTAGCTGGGTAGGTACACTTCACACTTTTGGGGTTCTTATATTCCCATTAAAATAAAAAATGTACACATTTAAGGGGCCAGGGCACTCAGCAACTAAGGATTTAGGATTTACATGATGGTCCATTATAGTAGATTGTAGTAGTAAATTATAGTATATTATGGTAGACTATAGTAGAATACTGTATAGTATATTTATAGCATATATATAGTCGGATATTAAGCTTTTGCAGCGGGCACAGTCACAGAATCGGCAATGCAGGACTGAGCTCTTGAACTTGGTGCACATGAATTTTGGATTTTGATTTTAGCCCATCTGAACCACCCTGTTTTACCAGGCACACTGTCACATAACCCCTATAGTAGTCCCCTGTACAATCCCTTCTATAACCCCCTTTAAGGAGTTTAGACCCTAAACCCTAAACCCTATTATAATCCCCTATACTAGAGTAGTCCCTTATATAACCCCCCATATAACCCCCTTAAACCCTAAACCCGAAACCCTAAACCGTATAACCCCCTATAACCTCCTTTGAAGGAGTTTAGACTATGGTTCAAATGTGGTTGGTCAAGGTACAGGTTTGAGGTCAGGGCCTGTAAGGGCCCCGAGGCTGAACCTTTCGTTCTTTGCTTACCGTTGAAGCCAGGGTTTAGGGTTTAGGATTTAGGGTTTAGGGTTTAGGATTTAGGGTTTAGGGTTTGGGGTTTGCTTAGATCAAAGGGGTAGGATAGGTGTATGGATGGTACTTGAAAGGGGGAAGCATGGGATGACCTGTAATTAGTGGTTACAGCTTGAGGCATTGGTCATCCAAGCAGAGATCTTGAAAGTTATCGCCCTAGACACCTGCCCTAAGCCTCAAGGCCCTGAAGACCCAAGCCCAAAACCGTTTGGAAGGTTAAACATATTTTCCATACAGCATTCAATGTCCCAGAACTCGTCAGTTGTCAGCCCAGGCGACAGGTGCAGGCGCTCAACTCCAAAACTCTAAGCCCCGAAGCCGCCATACCTAACTCCGCACAGATCCGGGTGATAAACTCCTGACCTCTGGGAAGCAAAGACAGAAAGGGGATATATACGGAACTACTATAGTATAGGGGATTATATGGGGTTTACGGTTTAGGGTTTAAACTCCTTCAAACGGGAGTTAGGGATTGTGGAGCCTTGACGCTGCACTCAACCAGGCGGCCTCAACAATCATCAACCTACCCCCCAGGGGTTTAGGGGGTTAGGCTTTAGTGTTTAGGGTGTAGGGTTTAGGACCTTGGCCCCAAAAACTTTAAGTCACCCAGGGCCTCAAGTAATGCCTGCAGCTTCATGTACGCACAGGAGACTACCTTAAATCACGGCTGGAAATCCATAAGGCCAGTCAAAAGGGTGGTGTAATCCCTGATAACCTTATGTGACCACCCATGAAGCTCTTGCAACAAACCCTCAGAGCATGTAAAGTTTAAACCCTGCACCATAAGCGCTAATGCCCATAAAGTAGAAGCTGAACAACTGCCACTGCTCTTCTTATAACCTTTATGTACGTACATGGTAACATATTCACATCACAACTCTTCCAGTAGTAAGTGTGAAATGCTAAACCTTGAAGAATGTGGATGCTTCAGTTTTCTTTTGCTAAGCACTAGGTAAATAGAGGGTTTGGTTACCCCAACCCCTGCAATAAGGACCCTTAACGCGTCATGCATAGTCATCGGATCGTTGTTTTGTATGTTGGATAGCCAAACTTCCCCTACTACCGAAGATACATCCCTACAGAAGGCCGTTTCCACTTCATGTGCCATGATGTTATTTTCCATGTGGTTCTCCCTTCGTCTGTCCCTAAACTCTCTAGATCCCTAGATAAACCCTATACGAAGCCCTAAACCCTAAACCCTGAACCCTTGTGGTTAGAGGGTCCATGAGCTTCCAAGCAGCTTAGAATGGTAGATCCACAAGCCCCGCACGCTAAACAATAGCTATCCGAATATTCCTCTCCACACGTGTATAGACATATGGGCCACAGTCTAAACTCCTTAAGGGAGGTTATATAGGAGATTATATAGGGGACCACTAGAGGGGTTATTAAGGGGGATACTAGGAGTTTAGACTATAGCTCATATAAAAGATATTTATGTATACATGTGACCATATAAAGATATTGCTGTATACCCCTATAACGAGTTGTTTTAAAAGTCACCCAGGCAGAACCTCTCAGCTGCCCACTGCGCATGAGGAGTTCCCAACTTCCGGGTCCCATTTTGGTGCCTCTAAATAGTAGGCGCAGTAAGATCATCATTAACCGTCATTAACCCAAACGGGCCAATAATTTTGGCAACTGCCCTAAACCCTAATCCTAAATCCTAAACCCTAAACCATGAAGGACCTGCACGGCCGCGATGGCCTGGATCACGGGAACTGGGCCCCGGGCTTGGCTTCCCACAGAGGAACCTGTTGCAAATAAGATGGGTATGTAGGATAACATAGGGTTTGGGGTTTATATAGGGTTGTATAGGAGTTATATAGGGATAATGGAAAAGAAAATGGAAACTACTACAATGGGTATGGGGTTCACCTTAAACCCTAAACTCTTTTTGGTTTAGGCTTGTAGGGTTTTGGGGCTCAAAGTTTGGGGTTCAGTTCAAAGTTGAGCTTTTAGGGTTTAGGGTTTGGGAATTGAGGGTTGATTGTTTCGATTTAGGGTCTAGGGGGGTGGTCTAAACCCTAAACCCTAAAACCCTAAACCCTAAATGATGCGTGGAGCCTCAGGCCAACCAAAGCTCCGCCTTGCAAACGGCACCTCTTGCTAAATGAGCTATAGTCTAAACTCCTTAAAGGGGGCTTATATAGGGGACTATATAGGGTTTAGGATTTAGGGTTTGGGGTCTAAACTCCTTAAAGGCGGGCTATATAGGAGATTATATAGGGATTACTATAGGGGATACTAAAAGTTTAGACTATAGCTCAAATGGGTCAGGGGGACTTCGTGAGGAATGGATTAGTTGTCTTAGTTTACTGTCTTGTTTGGGATTTAGGGTTCAAGGTCAGGGTTGCAGAGTAAGTAGGTTTCTAGTAAAAGGAGAAGTGGGGTTATTATGCAGCTTCTGGAGAGTGTAAGTTTACTTCCCAGATCCCTTGGACCCTCTAAATTTGATCTTGATGTCGGGGCCACTTTTGTGCGGGGTATAATGCTAAGGCTAAGGTGTGCAGAGGTTTTACGTGCATGTTGGTTTCATAGGGTTTTTGAGGGTTACCAGGAATGGTTGCTGCATATCACTTTAAGGAAGATGTGAGACGTGTTTTCGCTCACGCTCGCAGGATTTGTGGGCAAAGTAGAGATTTTTGGGGGATAGCAACTTGACAAAAACCTCAAACTTAGATCGCTTAGACCTGAAGTACGTGCAATGCCTGGGCAGGGAGAAACCCAGGTTATAGCCCGGTCCAATCCAGTTGCCGATTACTGTAGATGTTTTGTAATATACCGTAAGTCGCCCTAGTACTGCGAGTATTTCATAATCACCCCCCGCCCGAAGAACAACCCCCCAGCTCCCAAGTACCAAGTATCCCCCAAACATACAAACATACATACATACATACGTACATACGTACGTACATACGTACATACGTACATACGTACATACGTACATACGTACATACGTACATACGTACATACGTACATACGTACATACATACATACGTACACACATATGCGATCCGACTGCC